CGCGCCTCGTTCAAACGCTTCCTCAGCTGCTCGATCTCACGTTCGGTGCCTTCGAACGCCTCCAAGTCCTCGTCCGCCTTCTTGGATTTCGTCTGCAGGGAGTCGATGAGCCTACAAGGAGCACCGAATTCTTTCATTCTCCGATGATATTCCTCGCGTAAGAATATTTATATGCAACGATGTTTTAAACGCAATGCGAGGCTTTATCGTTTTTCTCGATGTTCCTTCGAGGTCGAGATTTGAACCGCGATGATCCCATTCCATGACAGGTTTATCACGAAAAGACGATAAAATTCGTCCGAGCGAACAGATACGGAAAAAAATGATTTGAAATGGAATTCGAAGCGAAGAAATCCGCAATGAAACGATTCGATGAAGATACTCGGAACGGAAAGTGCGCGTTACAAAAGAAAAATCGGAATGCAACGGCGCAGAAACCAAGAGACGCAGACGTAAACCGTGAAATATCCTGGCGCCAAAGTAGCTCCGAACGTAAATGGCACTTCTTCGAAGGTCAAAGCTCGAGCTTTCACAAGTTTGGTGGCATCCGTCACTGCTTACGAAACGAAGAGACAGAAATGTAAATTACGAAATAGCCTGGCGCCAAAGGAGTTTCTAGCGATAGTAGCGTGTCCTCTAGGATTAAAATTCGAAACTTCGCAGCTTCGATAGCTCCTAATATCGTGTTGCACGAAGCGAAACGAAGTTGTGTAGAACCAAAAGAAGAAGTAACAGTAAGAAAGTTTGAAATAACCTGCCGTCAAACAAGCTTCGAACAGCAACAACTTACGCGTGTTCTCCGCAAGATACCGAGCAACACACACGTTCACGAATACGCGTGTATTTTGTACACGAACCAGTCGGAAGTTAGAAGTGTTTACAGAGCCAAGGGAATACCAACGTGACCGTCGGCGAGCCTGTGGTCGCTACCTTACTAACGGAAAACGATTTGCCCCTTAGCAGCGTGCTTGTGCACGGAGGCCAGGCGTAAAAATAGATTTTAGCATATTTCTCGTGGCCTACGAGTCTCCAATAATGCGTGCCAATGCGCGATCATCGCGCTCCTGTCCAGCCTACTCGTAGGCTACAGGTCGACGAAGGAGTCACGAGACGAAGAAGAAAAGAAGGCGGAGGATACGCCGGATCGATCGGTCAGAAGGAATTGTCCGAGGCAGAGGTGCGACGAAATTAGAATCGGAAATGCGTGTCGCTGGTTCAACTATGGTTGGCTTCGTTCCAGCCAGAGCGGAGGACGCTTTGGCTAAAAGTAGACGAACGATCCGCGTGTGGTTGTGCGAGGAGTCTGTTGGTTACATGTCGGAACCGGAATTATTCTTTTATTGGAATTTCACACTTCGTTTTAGAATTGCTCTGTCGTTAGTCGTGATTTCGGTATGCTTATATTTGAATTTATATCGAATTCCTAGAAGTATAATTTCTTAACTTCTTATAGAATTATACACGAGTTCGTTATAAAGTAACAGAATCAAAGTATCTTCGAGTGCGCGTTTCTACATAAAGTTACGCTGCACTCCACCGAAAAGAATTCGGAACAAGATTTATATAATTTCCATCAAACGACGAACGAACGAGATCGAAATCTTATTACAAATCCTGTTCCTTAATTGCAATTGGTCGATTCGAAGATTTGATTTTGTTATTTTCTAACAATCCGTGTATATATAAGGATTCAATTAGCTACTTGTCTTTTTCATTTTATTAAATGTTTTATTTAATTTGGAAATTATTCTATAGTTACTGATAATTCAAATGCACGATATAGTATTTAAAACATTTTGTGAACCGAGAAATGTTGACAGAGAAACGCCGATATAACAAAGTAGAATAGAGCAATTTATAGAAGAGCAGATTGTTTTATTGGATCACGGTACGAATTGCTTGAATTTGCTTCATTGTAGCTAAGAAGATCAAAGAATGTTTTGATAGAGAGCGGTGCCAAGAGTTTTCATAAAAGATGACGACATCACCATAGGTGTATCGTGCTACGAGAAACGTCGAAATCAGTCATCGTCTCGTTTGGATTCGCCTCATGTCCGATTACGAACCGGTGCATCGTGTTTTCGTGATGTTTCACGTTGATCAACAATGACATCAGCGTTAAGGTTGCAATTTTGATTAGTCATTCAGGTTACTGTAATTGCAAGATGAAGTCTAATAAGAAATAAAATATGACGTAGAAGCCTCTAGAAATCAGACAAATTCATCTCGACAATTTGAATCGAAGCCACGATTTGGTAAGATATTTTCTAAAAAGAAGAGGAAGAACTGTCGGTGCCATTGTATAAGTTGTTGCCAAATTGTTCTTTACTTGTCTTATTAATGTGACAATTGTTCGAGAAAGCCCTAACGTCTGCAAGTATCAGCCCGAAAGCGGAATTTCAGAATACGCGGAGGGCTCGCGATGTCAATGTCAAGTTTCGTACGCGCAACGCGTTTCTTTTCCCACGATGACATCATCGTAGCTAATAATGAACGGCGTTTAACACAAGGTGCAATCACCAGCCGGCGGTCGTGGTATTTTCAAGACGGCACAGAAATTTACGAAACACGTTGCGCTCTGTATCGTCGCTGACTAATACGAGATTAAATAAGAAAAGAAGAACAGCTCAATTAATCGCGTTCGTTCGATCTTTTTCACTTTCAATATCCTCGAAATACATAAATTAATAATACATAAATTAATACGATACGATATTTCGAATAATCGAGACTTCTCTACGAACGAGAGAAAAATTGCAATTTATGTAAATCCGGTGATTTGAATGTTCCGAATTTGCGCGGCGCAGCGTTACATAGAAACTGCACTTTGAAATATTTGCAAGACGATCGTTATTGCTCTTGAAACATCGCGGCCGGCAGCAAGTTGCGGAAGTATCTCGTGCACGTGATGCAATCCTTATGCGGGCATGCGACTCGATCCAACGTGCTCCAGCACAGAGATATTTCCGTAACACCGATCAAATGATCCACTCTTTGCAGGATCTATCCACCATATTCCAACGAAGCACTATCCTCTTGAAATATTCTAACACCAAAGGACACTTGGACGAATCGAATAAAAATCCCTATCTAAACTATCTGACTTTCTTAGAACGAAAAAAGGGAAGAAAAAGATTAAGGAAAATAGCCATCCCTGAAGAAACACGCGAACGAATATCTATCGGCGGTGAGATTCAACAGCAAAAAGGTGGTACGTGTATACCAATTTCAGTAACAGTGGTGGATCCTCGTGATCGAATCGATAAATTTGTCAATCTCTCGACAAATCTCGTTCTTCGGTTTATCCCTGCCTGGCACGACGATGAGTCGTTCCTCTTTAAAACCGACTTCTTTAAGACGACGTTCGAATCGCGTGAGATATTTGAAAATCCGCCGTGAAATTAAATTCGGACAACAGTATGGCGCGGCACGATCAAGCTAAACAGCAGCGTTCGCGGTTCGAAACGTTATTAGAAGGGCGTAATAGCGTTAGCTTTGAATTTTCCTTTTGGCGAGGCGCCGCGACGCATGCGGCTTACGTCTAAACGCTCGCCAAGCCGGACAGGAACGAAAATCGACGACAGCCGAAAAGCGGCGCACGCCGCGCTGTTCCTAAGAATAATATAGCTCTCTCTGACTTTTTCTTCTTCACGTCTTCGTCTGTTTCCTTTTCCTACGGCTTATCCATCGTGTTGCAGAGCAAAGACGCCTCGGGAGCAAGGCGAGTTCATTGGCTCGAAGATCTTTGCCATCGCGCTTCTTTCCTACTCTTTTTGGCACGTTCGACGAACGTTGTATGATTACAATGCGAATCGAAAGGTTGCATCGGATGTTGCAACACGCGAAGGAACAAAGATCTCCATCCAAATTCGCGTATTTAGTCTTTGGATAGAATTTTTATCGGTAGACCGTGTGGATCTTCTTACGTACATGTAGAATAGGGAACATTAAGAACGTAGAAACGTACAGAAAATGCAGAATAAAACGCTCGTATTTAGAAGAAAAATATTCAAAAAGATTAGTAGCGATAGGAATTTCTATTTGGATTCAATCTCCGTGGTTCTATTCATAAAAATATGAATCTGTGTAAGTAAATGTGGAGAGTCTACTTATAACTATTGAATTTGAACTATTGATTTAAGTAAATGAAAATCGGACGACATAGCGTGCTTTGTCTAACACCGCAGTTTAAATGTATTGCTGTCATTCGCTTCATTTGGGTCATACCGACGTTAAGTTTCACGACACAGTTAAGTAGTTCTTCGGACATATAAGAACTTGATCACGTCGATTCTGTATATGATACATATATACTGGAATCTGGTATATTTTCATTCGTAAGCACAGCTTCGTTGATGACGCGAAGCAAACGACCGAATAAAATATCATAAAACTGGCAAAAAAAAACGACGATGGAACTTGCGAACCCTATTATTATCGACCCTGGAAGCCACGATACGAATCTACGATAAAAATAGTACTGCCAGCATCTAAAAATCGATCTGAAGCGATCTTGGAATATCTACGTGAGTCTATGGAAGAAGCTTTATCTCTAGCAACAAAAGATTAAATAAACCAAGGAGGATAATCAAACTGCGTATCAGTCACCTCTACGTTCATGGTAGAAACTTTACTTCTATTTTAAAAGTTGTCACGTAGAATCCAGCATGATCCATCGGTATCATCGTTCAGAAACGAAGAAACGAAAAGAGCAGAGTAAACGATCACTGCTACACAATTTTCTGTAACACGACCGGCACTCGCTTCAGGAATATTTCTTTGTTACATTGCAGCGACGGCAACGCCGAACAGACACGTGCTGCACCGAAACACGTTTCGTCGTTCCGCTTCGGTATCGATTGCTGATAGAGAGGCTACGAGGGCTAACGGTCATAATATTTAAGCCAATAACCGCGTACGATCCGATTATCCCGATAGACGACCGTAAAAATTTCATTGTTACGTACTGTCAATCGACATGCCGTGCTCGTTCACCACCAACGTGCGTCTACGCACTTGCCGGTCTGTTCGGCTCTTGCACAACTTGACAGCGATACTCGTCAGACACTCTTATATATCGTTTGATTCACCATACAATAAACTTTGAATAAAATCCTCGACAAATACAATTCGAATAGAACACAACAAATTCACGTGTAATCACTTTTTCAAATGAAATCCACGATCCGATTATAGACACCAAAGTTACTGATTCAATCTTGCGCAAAATTTTGCAATTCGATTTATAGACTTTATCATAATCGTTGCTATCGCAGGAAAAAATCGTTGGAATCACAATCGATTTATACACTTTACTGTATCCTTTGTTATCGCACGGATAATCCTTGAAATCACGAGATTCTTCGACACGGTCGTATAACCACGGAACGTCAGGTTCGCGTAAACGACTCGGTATAATTGAGACTATCTGAGACGATAATTTAATAAACGGCTGGTTGAAAGGACACGCGGACCAACCTCGACTACTTAACAACCACAAACTCTCTCGTCATGCTTTATTTCCAGTGTGCGGCGCCGCGTGCGAATGGTAACTGACGTGTGCAAACCGTGCCGCGGATATTACGCCATGAAATTCAGAAACGGGCCAACGTGCCGCCAAGGCGGTCGCTTCACTTTTCCTCGTCAAATCTATATTTAGTGCAAATTCGATCGACAACCAAGCAGTCTGAGGGAGCGAGGGCCACGATTCGGTGCGGGGTTGGCGAATGCAACCCCTTTTCGAAACGAGAACATACCGCGGTGGCGTGCAAGGTCTTCCCAGCCGTCCCTCTCCCTCCCTCTCTCTTTCTCTCTCTTTATTTCTTTCTCTTTCTCTCGTTTGTTCTCCTCACGTGCGATTCTCGAATCGATGGGAATGCAGAGAGTCACGGATTACCTAATATCACTCGATTAATGACCCGACGACGACGTCGTGCGAATTACTCGGGAAACGCGTTGCGCAATCTATTGAAACATGTTTACAAACAGCATCAATGAAAATAGAACTGTCGTAGGCGTGATGAATCGTGGGCGTTTGTTCATTTATGGGAAATTTGAACGTGTCGAGATTTGCCATTTATGTATTTTTATATATTTGGATCTATTTCTTGTATACTATTGGATTGTACAGTGAGATTGGAGAAAATAATCCGCTTTCGTGTTTGTATCTTAATCGGTTCTATTCGTTCGTGGAAGAAATTATTGATCGAATTAGTTAATATTCAGGGGATGAAACAGGTTCTACTTAAGAAGTTCCACTTTCCTTTATTCTGTTTTAATTATTTTCGAAGATCGTATAACTGGGAAATATCAATGAACAGATTTGATCAGTTCATAGATACGTTTCAATTAGAATAGAAAATGAGAGTTACCGGCTGATTGAGATTAACTTTAGCAGCGATGATAATCACGATCCACGTCATTCATTATTAATCGAGAAAAACCAGCTTTTTTTTAAAGTCTATGTACTGGATGAAATATGATTCGGATAAGATCGGCATCTCCGGTCGGCTTATTTTATATTCGTTTCTGGATATTAATTTTATGATGCAATGCATATCGCGACACGCAGTGCACAACTTTTTCCAAGGCCTAATTACGTCATGGGATTAATTTGGCTATGACACAACACAGTAGGACACGTAATGCATGCTAAATCGATAGGTGTCGTAATCCATAAAGAATCTGCCGCTATCGAGAAACCACAACTCTTGTCCTTTCCCTTTTTTCGACATCGTTTCTTTATTTCTTCAATTTTTGTTATTCCTCGGCGAAAATTTCAACGAAACCGCCCTCCCGGTTGAATCGACGTTTCGAAATGGACTTCTTGATATTATTCATCTTGAAGAAAGAACGATCAGCGTGCGTAAGATGAACGAGCTTTTAACGCAGAAACTCAAATTCACTATTTATAGATTGATGTGAAATGAATAATAGATGAATTCTAACGATCGGTGGCTATAAATAAATTATCCTGAAAAGAGTACTATGTCAGAAAAGAATTGCAAGAATATACACATATGATTAAATAATATATTGATATTCGATGCGAAGATAGCCTGAAACAAAACATATGAAAGGGTGGGGGAAGCAGATATTACCTAGCCCTTTCAAAGGGATGGTAATATGCATAAGCAGACATACACACATACACACGCATGCACATGCGTCGAAATTGCACACAATCGCACCGCATGGTTCCTTCGTTGATGATTCCGCAGTTTGGCGGAACACTGGATAATGATTTTTTGCAAGAAAATGAAATATAGAAGATAAATATGTAATCTTAACTTGATAACAGAAATTAAAATCTAATAATAACAAAAGCGGAATAAGAAATGTAATTGCTAATCGATGAATAGTAGATCTGTGTGAAATTATGTTCTAGCAGATATAAAATAGTTTTCTAATAAAAACGGAAAATTATAAGACACGAATAGAATATAAACCGTATTTAATAATGAACGCTTTGTGGAGTAAATTTTAATAAGTAAAAAGTTTTCTCGACTTCGAAAGAAACGCGTTCGCGAATCAAGAAATATATGATCCTCTGGTGACACCGATACAGTGTCCTTGGCAGTGCTTCTGGAACATCGCAACAACAAAAGAGCAGTTTCGACTCACGATTCGACGGAATTCTGCAACTTATTCAGCTTTTTCTCGAGCGCGTGGGCTGGTGCCTCTGTGAAGGCTGCCAGATACGCTAGAACAGGTCCTGATAGATCTTTCACTTCCTCTGTCATCGGTTTCAATTTCTCCGCTTCCGCTACCAGCTCCTGTACACAGTAAAAAGCAAGATTAATAAAATTCACAAAGTAATACATATTTATATTTTTTTATTCAAGGTCTTTGTACATATAAAATGTCTTCTTGCGTTTTACTACATCGTATTTTTATTACACATTTGATTTCTAACCGAATTACTTTCATTCTAAATAGAGTAAATAAAATTTCAAGATAAAATTCTACGACATCAAAACAGTTTTCTTTTTATCACCATCCAATTATTAGAGAAACGTTGTGCTTACATGTAAAGCCTTGATAACGTCTTGCAAGTGTTGCTTAGACCGAACTACGATATCCAAAAGTTTGCTCTTCTCTTCAATGACATTTACACGAGCTTCAATGACAGACCATTGCGCCTCAAGATCTTCCCAATGTTTGGACAGCGCTTCGAGAGCGTCTCTGCGACCCTCTAACCCGGAAACCAATTCTCTCCATTCCGCACTGATTTCGGCGATTTGTGTTTCTATCGTCTTTTTGTTATTAGCATCAGCCAATCGAAGCACTTCTTGACTGCGTTCGTTCAAAAGGTCCAATTCGAACTGTTGATTCTATACGAAAAAATAAAAATTTGTTTCTTTCTACCGATACGTGATAACATTTATTAGTAAATGGCCAGAAACATCGTCTAATTGTCTTGTAATCGTTAACGACAAACAGACGTGCGACGATTATCGACTAACCTGTATATCATTGAGAGCGTGCGTGATCTTCTGGATGTTAAATTGCAATCCAGCCAGAGTCGTGACAGGTTCGTCAGTGAATCTACTCCTTGCGATCACAGCTCGAACTCGCTCGAGGGTTTGCGTGTAGTCTCTCCAAGTTTCAGCTCCTTGTTCCAATCTGGCACGTTGAGATTTTGCGGTGTTCAACGTGTTCTTCAGTAATTGAGTGTGTTGCTGTTGTTCCGCGCTCAGTTCTTCTTGCTCGGACGTAGTCAACGATGGCCAAATTTTGTCACCTGCTTGTTGTATTTGCTGAGACACCAGCTCGCGAATCGTTGGCTCGCTACTAAAGTAAATCTGCAAGAACAATTCATCGAAATAATACGGTAAAGAAGCGTAGCAAATAATTTGAATCACTTGCAATGTGATCCGATACTAATTCAAAGGTTTTGGCAAATCTTGAATCATACGTTTCAGATATGATTTTCAAGACTTTCAGGCTGTTAACGTCAAACTATTTCATTTTAATCGAATTGTTCGATATATACGAACCTTGTGCTCCTCGAGATCGCTCAGGATATTCTCAAAATCGAGTCCATCTTTGTCGCTTTCCAGTCTAACCTCTGCTTCGCGAACCCAACTTCGAAGTTTCTCAGTAAGAGCAGCATACTCTTGTCTGAGTTTCATGTTAGTCTTCAAATAATTTCCACGTTCCTCCATTTCCCTTGGCAAGGAGGTCAACAGAGACACTGCTTCGCTGAGCATTTCTTTCAACGAACCAGGCATTCCTTCCTCGTGAGGCACAGAGTTTTTCAAGTTTCTGATTCTGTCGAGATGTTCATTGACAGCCTCGCATAATACGTTGTGATTCTTCAGTTCAGCTTCCACGCTGGTCGGATCTCTCTCCAAGAGAGGTCTAGATTTCACTTCTTTCTCTTTATCTTCCAACCAATCGAGAATTTCGGCCAGTTCGTTCGCGAGTCTCTTGTGTTCCGCCGCAGCTAATTCGTGTTGCTCCCTCTGAGTTTCCACGGCTCTTCTTAGACCTTGCAGTTGTTGCTTCAGTGATTGTAGTTGTTCCGTTATGTTGTTTCTATCCGCGGTCGAACCTTCTGCTGCGATTTGCTGACCCTTGTCCGTTGCACTTGCGAGCGTCGCCTCGCATTCTTGGATCTTTAGAATGGCATCGTCGTATCTGAATAAAAATCGGAAACAGTCGTGTTTAATTACGAAGGATAATCAACACTGAAATAAAAGTTAGTAACATTGTTAAATATTTCTATGACAGATACTTTACAGCAGCCTGCTAATGCGCTAATCAGGAATAACAAAATATTCATCGATCTTATAAATATTTCAATTTTCCAAAATGTATAAAGATCAAAATAGCTGGATAAATAATACAAAGTAAAAAATTTCCTACCTCTTGATCTTTTCTTCCGTGGTCTGACCTGAGTTCTCGATGTCTCGAACGATCTCCGTGTACTTAGCAATGAACGTCGTAATATCGGTGATCAGGGCGATGAATTGCTGTCGTAACAGAAGTAACTGGCGAAGTTTCGCAATTTGCGATTCTATAGCCTTTATGAGGTCGTCCTGTTGAGTCAATACCCCGTGTAGATCAGATACATTGACCGATTGGAGGTCGGATAGCTTCGCCTTATTCGCTTTCAAATCGTTTAAGATCTTTTCGTACGCATTCAGCATAGCTTCCACGTCTTCGACGCGGGAACCGATCGGTTTATTAAGCTCGTGAAGCTCTTTCTGCACGTCTGTCATGTATTGAACCGCTTCGGCAATCCTTGCCAATGATTCTTCAGCTTCGTCGATGCTCTTTTGAAGAGCCAGAGCTCTTTCATTTATGATACCAGCTACTCTGCCGTGAGCTTCTTTCATGTTTTGCAACTGCTCGTTTAGCTCGAGTTTGTCAGCGTCGCTCACGGTTGGGAGAATCGATTTTCCTTGCTGTATTAGCTTCTCGATGTCGTCCGCGTACTCCTTTGCCTCTTTCTTTAGACGATCGTACTGGAAATACGCGAGAAGTGGGAATTAATCGACGATGAAAAATTGGTTGGATGAATGGAGAACGAAAGTGAGATTATAATCCGAACAGTAATATAATAGAATTGAATTAGAATTTGATCGCGCTTTTTATTACGATACTTTTGAAATTGCAAGCAAAGTTTTCATATATAGTTCCCTTTGTGCCTGAGTATTTAGATACAATAAATGGAAATACAGACGGTTCTACGCTACAGAAAACAATGCATTCTGCTATCATTGTACGTCCATTGTGACGCAACTCGCTACAGGAACCTGTGTCTTACCTTAGCCAGCTGTTCCCTTAAAATATCGATGCTAGAAGACCTCAGATCCGAAGACGTGGCCACTTCAGCTTCGTTGATCCATCTCTTACACTTGTCCATTTCATTTTCGAAGGCCTTTCGTCCTTGAAGAAGATCCGCGAGTGCTGCCTGCTTCTCTTGCGCTTCGCTCTTCAGCTCGTCATAATCCTTGCTCATTTCGTCCAAGATTTTTCCTAATTTCGCTCGATCCTCCTCGTTACATTCCTTCAATAGATTATGCCCCTGCTTCAAAATATCATTCAGGTCCTTTTCGCTGAAGGAATCGATGTCAGCTTCCAATTCTCCGTGCTGAACGATATCCTGTTCGACTTTCGACGCCTTCAAAGGCAGATACCCGCTCAGCTTCTTCAAGTTATTGCTCTTCGACTTGATCCAACCCCGTGCTCGTTCCAGATCGCCTTCGAACTTGCGACGAGCGTCGGCTGCAGCCGTTGCACTGGAAATTCCTTCGGTTAAGATCGTACAAAGCCGAGATTGTTCGCCACGTAAAGCTTTCGTTTCATTTTCCAATTGTTGCTGTTCATTGGCCTCTAATTCGTTCTGCATGTTACCGACTCGTTTCTCCAGGGTATCGATCACCATTTGCTTTCCTTCTGCTTCCTTCAGCATCGCCTAAAATTTACATAACGTTTTATGAAGATCGAAGAAAATTTATTTATCGTAACAAATTTAAAGTAGAAGTATTACAATTGAAGAACTAAAACTTTAACTCTAGTTCTTTGATTTATAAACAAATACGAAATTCATAATAATTCAACTACTCGACTAAAAAATGTAAGCTCTTTCAAATAAATAAATTCTTTGAAATCTCAATATTCTTTCTGATAAAATTACCTTCAGGGCAAGGAGCTTCTCCTCCACCTGCTTGCTGTCAAATCCAACTGGATCAGAGACCTGGGCTTGCTGTTTCCTTTGCTCAATCCAATCACGATTCTCTTCGATCTCCTGCCTAGTTGCCTCGATTCCTTGAGCAGTCATGTCCAATACCTGCGCTTTCCTCTGCAGCTTCTTCGCTATATCAGCGTATCTTCTTTCGACAGACTTAATTTGTTCTTCTATCTGCTGTGAATCCAAGTTGCTCACAGAATCCATCACTTGATCGCTCAACGTCTTCACCTCGTTCAACTTTCCAGGTCCCTGAGACTCGAACTCCGTTGTGATCTCTTTCACGCTAGCGATCTTTTGGCCGATAGTTTGCCCATTTCCTTTCTCGATAACGTCAACTTTCTTCGATAGGACATCCAACCAGGCTTGAATACTCTGCACCTGTGTTCTGTACTTTTGAATCAGATCCTGAGCAGCTTGTTTTCCGGCGATAGCATCCGTCAACTCTGCTTCCAGTTTGTTCAATCCTTCCTCGATGTCCTGATCGTCTTCGTTAAGCGATAGTTCGGTCAACGCGTGAGTTCGACGTTCGCCAACGTTTCCAAGTAAGTCGTTCATCGCTTGTAACTCGGCGTGTGCAGCTTCGGATCTTAATTTCGCTGGCCGAGACTTCCATTCGGCGCACAGAGCTCTTTGTTGGTTTATCCAAGATCGAAGCACGTTCTTCTGACGAGTTTGTTCTTCTAGTTCGTTCAGAGCTTTCGTCACGTTCATCAAGTGTGCCTGAGCCTGAAACCACGATGTCGATCATGCAGTGTAGCTGTTTCAACGTTTTGCCATCAAATCAATTTTCATGATTATTTTTACGACTGCAAAACGGTACGTTTCGTCGTTTATTATCAATAAATTGATAATAACGAGCATATTTAACAAGAGCACGCATATTATTTTATTTCGTTTTCGCTAATACAAATTTTTTTAATAGAAATCCTTAATGAAGACGAAGATCTCTTTAAAATAAAATAAAAAATTAAAAAAATTAAAAGATTAAAAAGAATACGATACCTGATCGATCAGTTCCTCCAGTTTGTTCCTAACTTCCACTTCTCTCGGCGGAATCTGCACAGGCGGCGCATCCAGAGGACTTCCGGGTCTCGAGACGCAAGCCACCGCAGCTTCGCAAGCTTCGACAGCCAGAGCAAGCCTCGTTTTCTCGCCTTGTAACTTATTATGCAAGGTGCGCGCATTTTCGAATCTCTGCTTCGCAATATCGAGAGTATCCAAGGATGCCTCCATCTCTTGCGCTATTTCCGGCTCATACGCATCCAGATTCTTCATAATACTCTCCAAAGTGTTCTCATATTCCTGGAACTTGACCAACGATTCCGCCAATCGTTTCTTAATCTGCAACGCGGTATTCAATAGAGAATTGTAGCTTTCTTGAACGTTTTGAAGTTGCGTTTCGATGACTGTTCTTATCTCAGGATTGGCAGCCACGTATCGACCGATCTGTCCATTTCCTTTCATTTTCAAATCGTCCAGCACACTCGTGTAATTTTCGATTTCTGCAAGCAGAGTTTCGTGCTGTTTAATTTGCGATACCGTTTGCTCTTTGTTCGTGATGTACAGTGAATTGTGGGCCATTAATTGGAAAGAAATTTGCAACAGCCATTTCTCAGTCTCTTGTAAGGCTGCGTGATAAGCGTTGTATTCCTCGATTTCATTTTCTATCAATCTCTTTCTCTCGTCGACGTTCTCGCTCAGATTCTGCCAACGTTTCGATAATTCTCTCGTACGATCCAGAGGCGTGCTCTTTTTCGCCAGTTTAGACAGTTCGCCGGCTTCTTCCAACAAATGATCTAACTCGGTTTTCTTGCCGCGAACTTCCTCTTGGATGTGCTTGTAACGTTCCAGCATCGTTTTCATGTCACCGAATTCTCCCTTCGTGTCTGGAAGTTCCTGCATACTGTTCTCGGTCTCCTCCAACCAACGTTTCATCTTCCCGTGAGCTTCCGTGTGATCGTCCCAACGGTGTAACAGAGACTTAAGCTGAGCTTGAACCGTGTTCAAATCGATGCTCAGTTGCTCCCAGCTGGAAAGAAGTCCCGCCATGTCAGATCTTAGTTGGTCTTGTTGCTCTGGCACTGCCGTGTCTATGGCTTTCGCGTACGCGTTTTGTAATGTTGACAGTAGATGTTGACCCTCCGTGATCCTTGTTGCGACGATCTACAGACACAGACAAATTTTTTGAAAAATCAACAACGATAAATCCATATTTTAATACAACCAAGGAGAGATTTCTTCTATTAAAAACGAAAGAAACTTCTATTAAGAATTATAACGAGAACTTAGTTTTGACTATTTAAATATCGCGCATTACCTGCATTCTGTGCATCTGTAAATTTTGCGAGCATAAAAATCTATCGATAACACACCTTAATGGTTTCCAATTTATCCTTGGCCCATTCAGCATCCCCAACACCCATGCAATCCTGCACGGATCCTCGAGCAATACGCAGCCAATCTTCCATCTCTTTCTTCGCTTTCAAGAACTCGGTGTGATCGGATAAATTCTTCTCCACCCTGGAAACCAGTCCCTGCATATCCGTCAACAAAGACGTGTAAGCCGACTGCAATTGCACAGTCTTGTCACGAGCCCAACTACATGCACTCATTTCCAACAAAGCTTCGCACTTGTCGTTCAAATCTTCCAAAACTGGCTTCTGTTGGACGGCCTCTTCCACGAGACTTTTGCACCGAATTAAATCCTCCGGGGTTTTATTCTCTTTCGATTGCTCGTCGTTCACCTTCTTCTGGAAATGATCTATCCATCGTTTCATGCTGTCCAACGCGGTTGTAAATTGAGACCAGCTGGAAATACAGTTGGACAAAGTCTTCTGGGACTCGTGACACTGCGCTTGCAAAGATTTCCAATTTGCTTGCAGCTGTTTCACGTCCTGTTTGATAGCTTCTTGACCTTCGGGACCTGTGCTGGCGATCACTCCGTCGCTCAATTGAATAACTTTCGAGATCAAGTTTTCTCCTTTGGGAAGGGAAGCGATGATCTGATTCACTTTGTTCTCCCGTTCGATGATCCGCTCCTTTTCGCCGTGGGTGTCGCAGTTTTGCTGAAGCTCCAGTTTCGTGTGACGAACCCAATCCGCGGCTTCGTTATGAGCTTGTTGCAGCTTCTCGTGATCGTTCACCTGCTCTTCTAAATTCTGAAACAGGAAAGTTTATGGTATATTTATACGCAGATATATGTGAAAGATTAACTGTAATTTCGATTACGCGTTTATATTAATGTAGTATCGTGGAAAAGAGGCCTGTGGCGGCACTCGATAGCAAATACCACCACTCGACACTAATTAGGGTTAGCGAAAGTAGACTACCGAAGCGTCCTGTTTTGCGACCAAGTTTTCAGGACACAAAAAATCAAATAAAAATAAACTCACATAAAAGCTCCGCTCCCCAGCGGCTTAAATCCAAAGATTGTATTAAACACAAAAAATGTAAAGCGCCGACACATAACATAGTATGGCTACGTCGTAGCGTCGCGTATCGGTACCTTTGCCTAACACATCTTACCAAAATTCATAGTTTATTGTGAATACCCAAATGTATTAAAATTGTATCTTGGTTTAAATAAACGTTATTAAAAAAAAAGCAGTGGTTAGCGCCTTAGGTTACGAACGTTCGGAACCCGGGTTCGAATCCCGGCGACCGGAGTCCGATTTTTCTTCCACGATACAAAAATGAAAAGAAAAGCGGCCGTACCCATCATCGACATCCTAAATATTCCGATACTACATTAATATTCTCCATCTGTTATTTACGAGATTCGATTAAATCGAGGAAAATTCTTGTACTTTTCCATTTAAACTTCGAGAGAAAATCCAGGATTTAATCAATTTAACACGTTTGATTAATATTTGTAATAATAATTAACGTTTAACACATTTAACAAATACGTACTCGAATTTTTTCAGCGATCAACTTAGTCAATTCGTCGTACTTTGCGATGGTAGATTGATAAGGGCCAACGGGTATGCTAGAATCTTCAGCCAAACGAGCCTTCAATCGATCTACGGTTTCACCATGGCCTTGAATATCCCTCTGAACCGTCTTATACTTTTCCAACACCGCTCGTTTTTCACTGAGATCGTTCTTATACATTTCACCCGGCTGTATCTTGCCCTCGATCTCATCGATCCAATCCGTAGTGAGTCGATGAATTTTGTTCAATTCTTCCAACGCGCTTGCTCTTGCGGCAAGTTTCTGTCTTATGTCTTCCACGTTCACTAACAATTTCTCGAATTCTGTCTTGAGGTTTTCCGTGTCTTCTTGAATCTTTGCCGCACCATTTTGCTCTGTGTTCATAATCACCTTCTCCTTTAGTTCGAGAGCATAACGCAGCTTGTTCTGACCTTGTTCCAAGGTTTGTCTGATGGCCTTGCAAGTATGCAGCTTATTGTTCACCTCGGTTAAGGTGCTTGGAATCTCCTTACATTCGCTCAGTTTGTCACGAGTTCGTTCGATCCAATCTTGACATTCTTGGTACAACGTATTGTGCTGCTGATGTTCCTGTAAACGACAAGACACGGAGGATTATTTAGGAATTTTGATTGCACTATCCTTGGGGTTATGCGATAGCAGTTACGGTACCAAATAAGATTATAATTAATCCGTTGTGTTCTTGCAAAGATAGCATAGTGAATTTTAATATACAGCTTGGCTATTCAAGTTTCGATTTTTAATAAAAAATAATAAAAAGTTTTTTTGATAATTAGCTTGAAAATCTATCGAATACCGAACCGTAGAAAAACATGTATGAGCAAATACTTTCAAAGTTACTATAGAAGCTTATATTAAAAAGTAATAGCGAAGAATGTAGACTGCAGTACAAGGTAATGCAGAATAAAATTGTTTGAGAACGCGACACTAAACTATGCAGACATTATATTTGATATTATACACTTTTATTTTATCCTAATCTTTTAAGCATCTCTAACGCTCGAAGCTCGGTAATGGGATATACCTGATAATGTAATTCCAGACGTCTCATTATTTCTTTAGCCAAAGATAGAAGAGCGTTATACTTGGTCGTCAGTTGGGTGATAGCGTTCGAGATTCTGGTGTCTGCACAAGTTTCCAATAACATCTGAGCCTTCATGTTCAGTCGATCAAGTTCTCTTTGCCAGTCGAACAACGTCTGTAAATGGATCTGGAATTGTTCAAGAACATTCTTCTTTTCTTCCAAACTATCTTGAAGTTTGTTGAACGATTGCACCAGTTGCTCGGTCTGCGTGAGCCATTCGGTAGCTTCTGAAAATTGGTCCTCGTACTCCGTCCATTTCACTATTCCTACTTCCAGTAAACTCTTCGTGTTGTTCAACGAGTCTCTGTTAAAAGAGATACAGAACTTCGGTATTTAAATAATTAATTCTGGACTGAACATTTAATCAATGAATTTCTGATTTCTCATCATTGAATTATCGAACTTGTTATTTATCATCAACGCCAACGATGTCGATAAAGGTAAAAAGAAAAAAGAGAAAAATGCAAGGAATATATCGAAAGAAAGATAATAATTGAAAGTACGTCATAAAAATATAAAAAATTCCAAAAGTCCGAAACAGATCACGAAACTTACACATAGCTGTCGTACTCTTCCTGCAGCATCGCAACTTCCTCCTCGATGATCTCCTTGTCCTCCTCGTCGGCGATTTGACACGCCGCGTTCCCTTGTTCCAAAGCATGTTGCAACTTCTTCTGGCCCTCTGGCAGCTCGCTTTGCAATACTTTCAACTGCGTGATCTTATTCGCCAACGATTCCTTATCCCCAGTAGGTTCTGAACATTTTCCAAGTCTCTCCTTAGCCGCTCTTATCCACTGAATAAATTCGTTTCCACTATCGATAAACGCCTGATGTTGTTCCACGGTTTCTTTTTGTTTCGCGTACAACTCCTGCGCTTGTTTGCTCAAGGTTTCGTATTTTATTGAAATTTCCGTGGCTGGTGTGGCCTGTCGAAGATCCTCAGCCTTCGTGGTAACCGATTGAATCATCGGCTCGAACGCCACTATATCCTGAACTATACTGTTCGTCTGTCTAAGATTCGCCTTCCTTTCTCCAATAGCCAAGGAACTCAAGCCAGCCAGACCTTTTCTAGCTTTCGACACCTTTTGTTCACAGACTTGTTGCAATTTAGCTTCTCTGTCGTTGATCCATTGTTGCAATTGCAAATACGACGAACTGTAATCCGCCCATTGAAGCAAACTCGTCTCTAAATGCACTTTGGTCGTCGAAATCTTCTTCACTAGTCTCTCCCACGCATTTTGAATCTCCTTTAATTGAGTGTTTATCTCTTCGCGACCATCTGATCGAGTATTTCTCATTACCTTCTCTCCACAGTTCACTGTCAGATGCACCAAGTTTTGTCCTTCCTCGCGTTTTCTTAATAATTCTTGAATGTTGTCTAATCTGTTCTGTAATTCTTCTCGACTGCTAGTGGACGCTGCTTCGGTCCCTTTGCGAATGATTTGCTTCGCGTTTTCGATCCAGGCACAAGTCTTGGCCAAATTAGCTACGTATTCTTCGTGCTGAGCCAAGTTAGTTTCGACTTTGTTCAAAACGTCTTTGGCGAGATTCACTTGAACCTGATAGCGCGAGTTTAAGTGACGAAGTTGGTTGTTTATGTAGGTGTCCAGGTTAGACGAAAGAAGACTGGATGCAGTCTTGTTGAATTTATCGATTTGTTCTTGTCTCTTTAATAGGTTTTCCAGTATTTCTTTTACCTCTTGTACTTGTTTCTTTTTCCCTTCTACGTTTGACAAGAGAGAATTCTTCTGCGCCTTTATGAGGATGTCGAACTGCTGTAACCAATCGCTTATTCGCTCGTATTCGTCCTTGTAGTCTCTCCATTGACTCACGGTTTGTTCCAATTGATCCTTTTGTTGCTTGATTTCTGTGCAATTGAAAAAAATAAATCGTCCTTAATGTAACATGGAAATATTCAGTGTCATGCTACGGTCTTAGAATTCTTAATATTTCAATCTCGCTTTAGTTTCTAAAAAAAATCATTGAAATTTAATTGGAACAAGAATTAGATATGAAAAATTTTTTCGAACGTAAAAAATTGTCTAACGATTGAAAATATGATTCGATGGAAAATGATTGAATAAATGTAACAGTTCTGACCATTCGTCAGCATTGCAACTAGCTTCGTCAAAAATCAAACTTTCAACTTTCAAAATCTTCGAATCTTTTAAAAATCTCTTAATAGACTTACCTCTGAAAAGCTCTTCGAAACTCTGAGTTAGAGCTTTCACCTCGTTCATTATAATCTCCTGACCCTGAGGACTCGTACTCGCGCAGACGACCTTGCCAGTATGCTGAAGATGTTCCACCAAGAGTTCACCCTGAGCCTTCTTATTCAACAAACTCTCCAATGGAGCCACAGCATTTTCAATAGCCAATTTATCGCTTAATGGCCTCTGTTTCATCGATGGTATCTTTTCACGAGCTCGACTCAACCAATTGATGATATCGTCGTGCGCTTCTTTGTACAATCTGTGATCCTTATATTGTTCTTCTCGCTCGGTTAACAACGATTTAATCTTCTCGAACAACGTGTCGAATCTGTTCAAGATGCTCTGTGCCTGGGATGCAGCCAGACCTTGAGGACCACTGGCGATCATTTCAGCCACCTTGATCTTCAGACTATCCACTTCGATATTCTCGCATCGAACTTTCTCTTCCAGGGCCTTGATACGTTCCAACTGACACCTCTTTTCAGACATTGTCGTTTGGAATGGCAAGAATTCGTTCAAAGCAGACTGCATATAATCGACAGTTTTATTCATCGATTGTATCTGCTCTAGAAGACCAGCCCACTTATTGATAGAATCATCTAAGTTGGTCTTGGTCTCCAACATCTTCGAGGCTAGTGCGCTCCATTGTTCTTGTAATTTTCCAACAGCATCGTTGATAGCCTTGTGTCCAGTGGGTGCTGTGTTCGCTAAGACAGCTTGGGCTAGTTCTACGATCCCTTGAACCTTGGCGAATCCATCTTCCTTGTACAACAATAGATCTTGAATTACCTCCATCTTGTTCTCTAAATCTTTCTGAGAGGATGCACCCAGGTCAGAGCAGTAAGCTAACTTCTTCCTAATGTCATCCAACCATCTGGTGCACTCTGCCACTTGATTGTCGAATTCTTGATGAGTGGTCACGTATTGGTGCCAACGACTGTTCAGATCTTTCACTTTGTTCGATATCTGTTGGTACTTGATGCTTAACTCTGACATATGTGTGGTACGAGACGTGATATTCTTGTGAAGCTGTTGAGCTTTCTCGGAGACAGCGTCTATTTCCAGTTCTTTCGCGCGAACCTGTCCTTGGAGTGTGCGCAGAAGCTCTAATTGGTCCTTCTTCTCTTGCAAAGTAGCCTTCAGGTCTACCGCGTGAAGTTTGGTATCGGTTTCTCTCATCCAGGCGAGGCATCGTTCTTTCGATGTTTCGAACTCGTTCCACTGTTGAAGCTTGTTTTCTAGACTCTCTATAGTAGACTTGACAGCAGTGACCAAACTTTCCCATTCTTGCTGCGAGGAGTCTATCTGCGAACGAATGTTAATCTGACCAGATTCCAAGGTTCCTGGAATCACCTTTTCCCCTAGGATTCTTATCTGTTGAACTCTTGGTTTGTCCTCTGGTAAACTCTGCAATAAATTCTTCAGTCGATCCAGGTTCGTGTGAAGGGACACTCGTTCTAATTCCGTGTCACCCCAAAGAATAACTGCATTGTGCGTCGCGTCTAACCACTCGTGAGTGTCGAGCACAGCCTTGCTGTACTGTTGGTGATCGCTGACTATGCCTTCGTACTTTTCAACGAACGCAGCAGCTCGTTTCAACACTGTAGCGTGTCTTTCGTTCAGTTTCTTCAGCGTCTGATGTATTTTGTCAGTAGAGTCTGGTAAATTATCAGCTTTATCGCGAAGATCGAGTAAATCTTGTTGATGAGACTGAATATCGTGCAAGAACGAACGATAGATTTGCAACTGAGCTCGTTTCTCGTCCAGTGTGGTTTTTAATTCGATTTCTGGCTTTAGTTGAGTCTCGACAGTCTTCAGCCAGTTGTCGAACGACTCGTTGGACTCGTCGAATCCGGACCAACGCGAGATCTTTGATTGTAACTCTCGTTCGGTCGACGCGATGCTGTCGTACAGTTCTTCGAAAGCTTGTTGAAGATCTAGCAATTGTTGACGAACGATCTCTCTACCGTCCATGCCTGTGGTGTAGTACAGACGTTCTCCAGCTTCCACGGTGTTGTTTATCAAAAGAGTTGCCGAAGATTGACGAGTTAGAAGATCCTTCAGCGTTGCTACGTTCGACGTTAGCTCTTGAAGAGTGCCACTGAGATCGTCTTTGATGGATTGATAAGTAGTTCTGGTGTTTGCTAGCCATTCTGAACACTGTTTGTAGCGCTCCAGGTAGGCTGCGTGGTCTGCCACTGCTTGTTCGCATTTCTTTACCAATTCCTGTGATTTTTTAAAGAATTTCCAGCTTTAAATTTGAACGATGTAATATACAATTATCGTGAAAGCGTTAGAATATTCTTAGAAGAGTGTGAAATGTTTGGGAATAGAGTGAATGATATTTGACTAAATTAGATGACATTTTTTCTCGATAAATCAGAATTTCTAATTAAATAATTCGTTGCTCCAAGAATTTCTATGAAATTACGACGGATAGACGATTTAGAATTTTAAAATTGTTCATAGATTATTCACAGAATTTTAATCGCACAGATGATACAACTACTTGTCGAAATTATAGACTTTATAAAATAATTATACGTCTCTTGCATGAACTTGTAAAAGACTTAAAAGTTTATTGATCAATAATTGAATTATTGTTCGTATAACTTATGTTTAAAGATGAATGTCACATTATAATTACGAGTCTTAACATGTAATTTTTGATATTCACCTTAGCAGTCGCTTGAATAGATTGGAAACGCGAGGTGATCTGCTGAACGTTGGCTGAGAACCTTGTTTCCCCACTAATTTGCATCAATTCGGAAGATTCGTCGCTCATCTTGTCAAACTCGGCCTCGTTCTGCCGGAGATTCACGATCAACATCTATGGAACAGAAATCTCATTGGAATCGCACGATATTTCATATAGGAAGCTTTTGTCTTTAAATTTCGTGTACTTTATCGAACAAACTGATTAAAACGTGTGTACTGATCAGGTAGCTTGCCGTCTTTCTGAAACTACCTTGAACTCACAGAGGTAACACGCATGTTTGTTTGTATGTTTGGTGGGTATGTTCATGTACAGATGGTTAATGTGAATTCAATCAACTAGTCATGGATTTTTTCGCGTGCCATGACAACGCAATGTAGGGGCTTGGAAACACGATTCTTCGATCAAACGTACTCAAAACAACACGTTTGCATGCATCGAAGTAAAACAGGAGATAAGAAGATCGTAGAAAATTTATGTGTGTTAAAGTATCTACTCGTAAGACGTTTAAGAAAAGGCAAGTGTAAGTATCATAGTGTGAAAAGTGAGTGTACAGTGTATCGAGTTCTTGAAACTTACCCCGATGCTCTCATAAAATCATTTTCAATATATTTTCGACTTACATCACACTAAACTAAATCGTTGAGAAAAGAAGAGAAGAAAAAGAAAGAGAGAAAAAAAGCAAAAAGAACGATTAGAATATAGGGAGAAAGAAGAAGAAGAAAAAGAGAAGGAGACAGTAACGAGAGACCAATTGACAAAAAAGCGTTCACAACCCTGATCGAACAAATTTTTTCCATGTTTCTCTTACTTGGTCCAGGTGGTCTCCTAGGGCCACCAGTTCCGTCACTTCCGTGTCCCACGATAAGGCGGTTTTTTGCAGTGCCTAAGAAAGTTTTCCAAAATACAATGCCTGATCCTGTATACCACTTCATCTCTCTCGTATCTTTTCCTCTTCTTGATTAAAAATCAAAAAATCTTCGTACCGTTCGCGCGTTATTCGAAAAAAGAAACAGATCGCGTTCGTAGCGTGACTTTGCGCAATGAAAGTTAATTTTTCAACGAAACGTTGAACTAATCTTTTAATTAGAATAATCTGCTCTTACAGATACAGACCCTCTATGGTGTACATACGTTGCAAGATACAACTGTGGTCTCTATTCTAGACTATAAAATATTACCTGGTATTTCTCCAGTTGTTCTTGTTTCTCTTCAAGAGAGTTCTTTAGGGAGTAATTCTTCAAGGACGACTCTGCATCCGCCAACCAAGCTAATAAACGTTCCAAAGAATTTTCGTACTCGCTCCATTGCTGGATCCTCTCCTCGATGCATCGAATAATGTCGTTTACTGTAATGGCGAATTTCTTATGCTCGAATCTGTAACATAAATATTCGTTTTACCAAGAAATTTTAACTCGTTTAATCTCATTTGAATCTCAACTCGAATACAGTTAACGATAAACTAATAAAATAAATCTTGCCTCAACGAAGCCAGGTCTCTTTCCATAGATTCTAACGATCTAGGTGATAAGTTGGATGCACTCTGAGCCACATGTTCGCTAAGAATATCCAATTTTAATTCTCCTTCCCTCTGGCCATCTTGAAGCTCCATGATCTTGGCCAGTTGAGCTTGAAGGGCAGCTTTATTGCCCGTGTAGTCGCTGTAATTGGTCAATTGTTCCCATTGTTGTTTCTGATAGTCTTGATAGGATTTCTGAAGATCGTAAAACTGTTGGAACGTGTCTAGGAGTGTCTCTAAGTTGACTATGTTCTTTTGTGACATTTCAACCAAGTCCTCGTATCTTCCAGAAACCGAAGCAGCTTTCTGTTGAGCGTCTGATGGCGCTTGGACTGCGTACGTCAGTGCATTTGCCTTTTCAGAGACACCCTCGATGATGCGTTTGTATGCCAGAATTTCCTGGTGCATTGCCTATAAGAGATAACGACATTTTATTATCGGTAACAAGGTTTACCTTTTTCACTTCTAAAACAAAACGAGAAAACAACTAAAAGCACCTTGCTCTTCAACAACTTGGATTTAATTTCCTGAAGAGAAGACCACGTGATCGTCGAGTCCTGTTTCACAGATCTCTCCATAGTGTCTAACCAAGCCAAAATCTGTTGCAAAGTTTCCTGATAATTGGTCCATTGCAAAGACTGAGCATCCTGTTTCTTCTGTTGCTCATCTATGCCTTCTACAAATTTATCCCATCGTTCTCGAGCCTGCCTTAGTTCGTGACGGATAAGTTCCCTTCCCTGGGCAGATGTGTCAGCAAGGATCCTCTCCCCAAACGATATCAAGCTTCCCAATCGATGTTCACCTTGCTCTTTCTCAGCTAACAATATCTGTAAGCGAGAGACTCTCTCTTCGAGATTTCCGCCTGCCTCGTCCTTCTTCAGACTGGCTAAACTTTGTTCCAATTGAGTCAGCCATGCATCCACAACCTTCAGTTTCTCTTCATAAGCCCGATGATCGTCTAGAATACTCTGACATCTTGTCACTACTTCTTTACTAAGCCCGTGCAATAGTTGGTATCTGAAATTTCCATTTGAACAATTTCATTGAAAATCTCGGTTTCATCTTTTCGTAAAAATAAATATATATATATATATACGTAAAGATCTAGATTTAGCGTCAATGAAAGATTTCGATTCTTGTCTGAAGAGTTTTACCTATTGCTAATTTGCGAGATCATGGGTTTGATACGTTCAACGCCGCTCGCATGTAGTAGACTATGCGACTTGTCAACGAACTCGTCGATATTCGATTCTTCCTTCAATATCGCGTCACGCTTCTCTTTCAGAACTTTCAAACGAGCCTCCTTGTCCTGCAAAGTAGGTTGCAATTGTTGGTCTCTGAAGGCAGCTTCCATCGTGCTGAACCATTTTGTATGCGTTTCCAATTTGTCTTCAAAGTCTTGCCATTTCTGAAGAGCTGTCTTTTGCTTCTCTTCCACAGATTCTACACGGCAAAAAGAAGAAAATGTTTAAATTAAAAGAATTGTTTAAATTATGTAAATCGTAAGACTAGATATTATAGATATGTAGCGACACTGGAGTCAAAGAACGACGCGAGTCGAGAGCGATTCATGCTGTTGTTTTACCTCGGGTCATTGACTCAGCCTTGACGCAGAAACGTAACGATAAACAAAGTCCGGACAAAACACTGTCGCCGCTACATGCAACCCTCGAATGAAGACAAATTCAAATTTTCCGACTGAACGAACGTGATCGCGGACGACACACAGTATCGTAGAGTATCGTACAGTATCTGCAGAGTATCTCCGAATATCTCACGAGTATTTATCGAGTTACGCGACGAGCATTAACGAGTATTTATTCCGCGATTTATATTTTGTACTAACGACTCACGTATACGGCTGTATATTAATTTATTATTCTAAATATATTCGACAGTTTCAACGACGAACAATCTGGTCCTTTAAAGCTCACCGACAAACCCACCCTCTTCAGATAAACCTCTACAAATTGGTAACCCCGACGTGAGTTGAACACGACTAAACAACCTCTACAGATATAAGAATTTTATTTAAATTGCAAATACCTATTTCGCTCAAATATTGACGAAGGTTGCTTTCCAAAACGGTGATCTCTTTATTAATGGCGTCCCATCCTTTCGGCGCGGTTCTTTTAACAACTGTATCACTAAGTTCCTTCAACTTTCCAAGCTGTTCCGTTCCCTGCATCTGATCGTCCTTCAACGTCGCCAGAGTAGCTAATCTTCTACAAATATCTGTCCTTTCTCCAGTGACATCGTTGCATTCTGCGAGCTTGTCTCTTTCGCCATTCAACCAGTCGGAGAAGTTCTTCACTTGCAGGTTAAATCTATGATGTTTCTCCACGCAATCTTCCAAATTTTCCAACAAATCTTTCGATTTCGCCACGATGTTATGGAACAATTGTTTAATAGAAGGTAGAAAGACATTGAGAGAAGTGTCTTTGGTCTGATCCACCAACTGCTGAGCTTTATCGCAAACAGACTCTACCAGGGACTGATGAGACATAATTTCTTGGTGCATAATCTTATGATTCTGTAACTGTGCTCGTTTTTCTTCCAAGGTACACTTTAATTCTGTATGTTGATGCATGGCACGTTCCACGTCTCGAAGCCAGGCAGTCAATTGCTCGTGGGACAAGGAGAACTCGGCGAATTGCATCAGGCACTGGTCCAATTTCTGCGTAGTGCTTTGCAAATCTTCGGTGAATCCATCCCACAGAGTTCTCAAGTTTCTCAGTTGTTGTCTGATAATCTCTCTACCATCGGGAGACGTATGAATATATAATTTCTCTCCAAGGTCCACGACAGACTCGAATCTAGCGTTCTCCTTCGTTCTTGTATCACCAAGGTCACGAATCAGCTTCTGTCTACTTTGCAACACGGATAAATCGCCCACGATTTCGCTGTGTTTCTTCAATTCCGATTGAATGTCCGTGATCCATTGCAATAATTGATTGTATTTCACGTTGAAGGTATTGTGCTCCTTTACGAACTGTTCGTACCGCATCACGGTTTCTTTTATTTGGTTCTTGATAGCCTGATACTTGGTAGATTGTCTGGAAGCTCTAGTGGCCAGGTCTGCTTCAGCCTCGATACTTTGACTCTTCTCAATGGCAGCGTTAAATTCAGCTCCTTTCGCGATAATGCTCTCTTCCAAGGACTTTAGCTTCTGTAAATGAGCCCTCTTTGCCTCCTCTGTACTCTTCAAACTTTGATCCTTCAATTGTGTCTCCATCTGCTTGATCCAGGCCTCCAAGTCTTCCACGATCTTCTCAAATTCGGACCACTGGTCGAACATATGCCTCAACTTGTCTCTAGAGGCTATGGATCTCTTCAGGAAATCTTCCCATATCTTTTTCTGTTGCTCAAAGTTAGACAACAAAGCTGGATGACCTGGTAGAGAAGTTTGTTCAAGAACGATATTCAATTGTTCGTTACAGTCGGTCAGAGTTCGATCCCCTTCCGCTTTCAGTTGAAGAAGATTCTCGATGGCAGTGATTTTAGTCTCTGCCGTGTCTCGTTCCACCGAAAAGTCCTCGATTATAGGTGTTCCCTCGTTGATTACCGTGTTGATCCAATCCCGAGTCTTCTCGAACGTCTGAAGATACGCTTCATGGTTAGAAACGTATTTCTCCGCTATATTAATTCGTCCTTCGACTTCATTAGACAGTTTTTCATGGGCTTCGATCACGTTGCTCAACATTTCACTAGCATCGTCATCCGGAGCTGAGCTTAATCTATCTTGGAGCTGTTGAAGAATATTCTTGTGCACGCTAACATCTTGTGCTACAGCTCTATATAGGTGAAGGGTCAGCTTCTTCTCTTGTAACGTTGGTAGTAATTCCTGTTTCTCTCCTAATTTATTCTGTGCATCAACCAGCCATTGTTTCACTTGAGAGAATTTATCCTCGAACGAAGACCTGTGCATCATGTCGCTCTCTATTCTTTTATAAATCACGTTAGCACGGTCCGCCATTGCGTCCACGCGGTTACGGAAGTTTCTCAACTCGGTCCTGATCATTTCTCTCTGGTCCGGTGTGACCCTAGCGAACAAAGTTTCGCCAGCTTCCGCTGTTTTGTTTAATATGGCTTGTCCAACTTCACGTCCTTCGGCGAAAGCTTTCAGTTCTTTCAAGCGCGACTGATAGAAAGTTATAGGCTTTGGTCCGGTGATCTCGTCGAAGGCTTTCAAAGTTTTTTCAGCATTTTCGATCCAAGCTTCGAGTTTCTTCTTATTGGCAACATACTGATCCCTGTTCTCTTTTAACTCTTTAAGCCTGTCCAAATGTTGCGCCAGGAACTTCAACACGTAATCGTAACGTGTATTAAGATGGCTGATGTATTGATTCACTCGAGATTCAGAACTAACTCTGGTGATGTCCTCAGCCAGAGCAGTCAGATCTTTCAGTTCGCTTTGATACTCCATCACTGCCTTCTGTACTTGAGTCATTTCCGCAATTTTCTGTTCGATATCGTCTAAATTAAGTAACGCAGAAGCTTCGGCTCTGATTCTGTTCTCGTTCTCCTTCAACCAGGACAAAACATTCTCTGATGTAAGTTCGTAACGTTGCCATAGAGCGATGTTTCTTTCTAGATCATTCTTGATCTTATTGTAACTACTCTTCAGGGATTCCAAGTCACTCTCCACCTTGTCACGTTCCGTTTTTAAGCCGGTCATCGTTTCGGCGCTTTCGACAGATGCTAGAAGCTTCAAGGAGTTGTCAGTGTCTTCTTTTCTAGCGGTGCAATCGGCGATTCCAGCTTCCACGTCCATCAGAGACGCCATTTTCACTTCTAGATTGTAACGATCGCTACTTTGTTCAGGTTCGCACCAAGCTACTTTTTCTTTAAGCGTCGCTACCATACGTTGAAGAGCGCTGAATTTTTCGTGGTATAATTTAGTTAAGAAGGCTACCAACGTCGCTATCACTTTATTAGCATGGCTGGCCACACCATCTCTTCGAAGCTGAAGAGCCTGCAGTTCCTTTGGCAAACTGGACTTGGAGATGCTGGGATACTCCGTAGACATCTTCGTCAGTGTTTCTTCAACTTTAGACAGAGCGTAATCACATTCTTCCAATTCTGTTTTTAATTCCTGACATTTATTGATACGACCAAGAATCTTGGTGTTTTCGCCGGTCAAATCGTCGCATTTGATAATGTCTTCGCGAATTTTCGATATTGCGTCACCGCATCTCTTCAGCTCCTGTCTAATCGCTCTTTCCCTTTCGTTTAACGTACACGTCAAAGATTCCAGTTTATCCGCCGAACTTTTAACCACCTTGAACTGATCGTCCAACAATTTATGGAGAGAACTCAAAGTAGGAATATCGGTATCGTTGTTCGATTTCACTAATTGTTCAATTTTGGTGACGATGTTCTGATACAATTGTTGATAACCAGGCAACTCCTCTCTGTATCTAATTAACCTGGCTTGACAATTTTCTGCGTCCATTAAACGCTCAAACGCAGTGGTCAAAGCGTCGTTGGTATTATTGAGCCACTTGATAAGTTCAGATTTCGATTCTTCTATTTGTTTCCAGATGATTACCTGAGTCTCGTAAGTTTGCAGTTTTTCACTGATATCGTTAAAAGTATCTTGGTATCGCTGTCGGACATCGGTTAAGTCATTTTCGATTAGATCAGAATTGAATCTAGGCATTAAAGAAGCTTCCTTCGTCAACTGTTGCGCCTTAGAATCCATTTTGTCCAAGAAATGTCTGCCTTTCTTCAGCATTTCCAAAGCTTTCTTGTGCTTCTCCAACGTGATATTCGCTTGAGTAACGTCATAAGAAACTCCTTTCACCGATTGATACAAGCTGGTCGCTTCTTTGATAGATTTTTCCACTTTCTCTTTAGCTTCTTCGTAATCTTTCCAGTCGGTGTTCATGTCAGCGTATTTCTTCCTTTGCTCTCGAAGAAGCTCGTTAACCTTCTCCCAATTAGCATCCACAGAAGATAAAACAACTTGAATATTGGTCGTCGATCTCTGGTCCTCTTTCATCAAGGAACTTCCTTCAAAATGAAGAATCTCTTTCTCCTGTTCTCTCTTCTGATGCTCTTCGATTAATCGATCAATCGTCTCCACGGCAGGAGCCAACTGTTTGCAAGAGTCGACGTTGTAAACCGTCTCTTGAAGAGCAGTTTGAGTGTTCAATATCTTCTCCGTGATAGTTTGTTGAAGCGTTCTGAAATTGTTCCACCTGGCGCCAAGATTCTCTAGCCTGTCACGTTTCGCGGATATCTCGTTCTGTAGAGCTAAGGCTTTGTTCTCTAAATCGTTTAACAAACCCGATGCGGACAGAGGTTTGCCCTGTTTGTCCCTGATCTGAATTCCAATGGCAGTGTCAGGTAAAACATGTTGTTTCCAGGTGTCTATCTTCTCGTATATAGTCTGCAATTCCGAGGAGAATCTCTCCAAATCAGCTATAGTAGGTTTTCTAGCCTCAGCTTCGTATTTACAATGACTCAACTGAGCATTGGCGTCGTTCAACCAACTCAACATTTCTATCCATTTCTCCAATCCCTTCTTCTTCTGTTGCAAGTCGTCGCCTAATGCTTTATACTTCTTCTCTAGATCTACATAAGTGTCGACCAAAGCAGCTTTAGCTTTTATGGATCCTTTAGGACATATCACCTTTACTTCTTCGCAGATAGCTTCCAAACTGGGCTGTTTCTCGGAGTGTTCCTGAATGTACGCGTGCACAGCCTGAAGATTGGTATCAACGGTGTCAACAGTCGCATCGCTGATCTCAGCGACGTTCGATCTCAGTCGTGACATCCAGTTCTCCAGATCGGTGATCTTCATCTGGAATTCCTGGCGAGCTAACAGAGAATCAGAGACGCGATTGATCTGCAATCTGACCGTGTCAGCCAGCTTACTGACTCTGGATTTGATGTCTGATACACGAGCTTTCAAGTTGGTCGCTCCTTCCAAAGATAAACCGTGACTGATATGATCAGACACTTGGGTCAACGATATCAATTGAGCTTGATGATCGGATATAGTCTTGTTGAAGTCCTTCAATCGAGTCAGCTCTTTTTCTAAGACTGATACCTCCGGTGTTTCGGTGTTTGGTTCTATGAGAACGGTTCTCTCGGATTTTTCTAACCATTCGTTAAATTCTTTGATCTCGGATTCAAAGCTGTTCCACGAAGTGACCAGCTTGTCTAATTTCGTGCTTGTTTGGACTGCTATATCGTGTACCGCGTTCCAACGAGTGTGAACAGCGTCCACTTCGTCGGAGGCTGATGTTTTTCCTGATATTCGCTGGCTGACCAAGGATAAATCTTGAATTTGAGGGAAGTGCTGTTGACATCGTGTTTCGAATGCTCTGGTGGTTTCTAACATTTGAGCTGCTTGCGGCAGAGTCGTAGGTTTGCTGCCTATGGTGGCTGCCTTTGACTCGGCTTCTTCGATCCAAGGTTTCAATTCTTTGATTCCTTTCTCGTACTCTTTCCAAGTCTCCAGGTTCTGCACAGCGGTTTGACGTTGGGCTACGATACTCTTTTGAAGAGTTTCGATGCTCTTCTCGAGGCTTATAATGTCAGCGCGCAGCTGCTTTCCTGGACCGCCAGTTTCACCTGAAAATGCAAATAAATTATTTGTAAATTATTTATGACTATCTACTTTATACATAGATTAGTTTTAGAAAGAAAAACAGAGATAGAATGTTTATACAGAGCGTCTCAATCTTTTGCTACCAAATTTTTCGACATACTCTACGAGTATAAATGAGAAATTTGTTTGAAACTTTATTAAAACATGATAAAAATACGAAATATTATCATGAAGAAATTTGAAAGAAAAGATATAGCAAAAAATAATGAAAGTTTCGTTCGTACCTTTCACCAGTTTCTCCGATTCCTCCTCGAGGAATTTCAACGTCCTGCTTCTCTCCTGAATATCTTTCTGCAAGATCTCAGTTCTATAAACCATTTCTTCGGGAGTGGTCGCCAAGTTTTCCGCATCTGCAATCGATTGAGGCGCACTTTGTTGCGTCCATAATTGTAACTCGTTCAATTTCGCCTGGAACTTGTTCCACCTGGTACTATGCTCCTGCAGATAGACAACCTTCTCCTGCACGGTCTTCAGGGTAGTCTCCACTCGTTTCTCAGTTTGAGTGATCTCTTTCTTCAGTACTTCCTTTCTTTCAGGTGGTGCAATCTCTGTCAAATGACTGTACGTCTCTTGCAGCTTCTTCATCATCTCTTCGGTGGATTTTCTCAATGTGGAGCTAAAGTCCTGCTTACTCTGAAGGTCGGATGATACCTGGGATGCTTCGTAATAGGTAGTCGACTCGATTTTTCTCAATTCTTCCTCAGCTTGCTCGATTAATCTCATGATCTCCTCTTTCTGTTGCAGGTAAGTATTCCACAACTTCTGCGAGCTCTTCAGAGACTTCAAGGTCTCCACGCTCTGACCATAAGTATCATTCCAGCTTGATTCTAATTGCTGAACCTCCAAGGACACAAATGGAGGCGCGTGTTGGTCTTTCAAAAGATCTTTACCACGTTGAAGCATGCTCACGATATTTGATCTCTGTTGTTCCAACTGGTTCAAACGGCTTTCCTGATGAGTAACCGCGGTCTGCAAGGTCTCCGGAATTTCAGACACTACGTCCACCTTCGATTGATCTTTGACCTTGTGCAAAAGAGTGCACACCTCGCGCACTTCTTTTCTGTACGTGTAGCTTTTCGAATAGATATCGGTTTTCGTCATGGTGATTTCTATGGTTGGTATGAGGTTCTTATAACGAGTAATCAACTGTTCCAAACGGTTCTGCTCTGAAAGGGCTTCGTGATCTGAACGATTGGAAGTCAGGCTATCCAAGGTTTGGACCAGCCATTTCATCTCTTCCCTCTTGCTGTCTGCTTCTCTACATATTTTCTGTTGAATAATTTGAAGAAATTTATTCTAATATGCCACATTTATCTTGGATATTGTAACGTGAGGTTTTTATATCGAATTTTCATGGTGGAGTGTACGTGATCATACTTACCGTTAACATTTGAACCTACGTCCAGTGTAAGCAATACAAGAAGAGAATGAAGAAGAAATGTTTAAATACAACGTGCGTGGTGAAGAGAAAAATGCTTCGCGTTAACAATGCCTTGTAATGCACACATCTAAATTTCTATTATTGTTTAAGAGTAAGAATAAGGATGATCCTTACCTGGAATACCGTTTTTTCTGTTTCGAATTCCTCCAGCGTATTCACCTCGTGCAGAATAGTCGCCAGATTACTGTCTACATGGTCCATCCATCGTACCATCTCGTCAAATCTGAATCAACAATTCGTATATGAATAAAAATTTACGAAGATAGCAGAAATTCGTAAAAAATAGAAATCTAAATAAAAAAGATTCGTAAAAAGATAATTCGAAGAATGGAAATTCTTCAAATTTACTATAGGTCAACGATAGATGATCCACAGCCTTCGCGATACTTACTTTTTCTTATAGGCAGCCCACTGCTCAGGCACTTGTTTCAATTGTTCCCTCAAACGTTCCACTCTCTGAGCGGAATCCTTCCACAGGCGTTCAGCATGTTGTGCAGCCTCAGACAAACTGGTATCGTTAGGTATCAGCTGGCTATAAGCATTGCTGATCTTCTTCAAAGTCTGCAGGCACTTCTCTACTTCCAGAACTGTACCACGGTTCACGAAAAACTCTTTATTCCTCTGCAGTATATTCTCGACATTGTCATTCTTCATCAAAGCCTGCTGTTCCGAATTCACCTCCACCTCGATCTCCTTCAGGTACTGCAGGAACGTGGTTTCATCCAGGCGAAACTCGAGTCTCATTAAATGAAGAGGAGCGAACGTCAACACCTCCTTCCAACGTTTCTGAAGCGATTCGACAGCTTCCAAAATAGGAGCTTGCTTCTCAACGGGCAGAATATTCTTCAAGTCTTGTCCAGCGTTCACAAAGTCTTGGATCCACTTCTCATTTACATTGCTAAAGAAGTTCTTGTGATACTCTATAGATCGTCTATTATCGGTATGTTTGTCATTCATCATGGTTTCAGCGACCGACAGCCACTCACAGACCTGTCGTTCGCATTCTTTGAACCTGGCCCAGCATCTAACAGCTTCCTGAAGCCGTTGTTCCAATGCCTGAGCCGCTTGAGACACTCGATTGAACCGTTCGTTCAACTCTCTCAGGGTTCTGCCACCTTCTGCAGTAGCTACATCCGCGTGACTGTCCACAGACTTCACTATACTGGAGAATACTTTGTTCTTAGACTCCAGCATGGATTTATAGTAGAGAGTTCTAGAGAAGAAGGCTTTATGCCGCTCTAACTGAGCCAAGATATGCTCTCTACCACCTGATAAGTCGACATTGGTCAACATTCTCTCTGCTTCGTCCAACCAGGCAGCTATTTCCTTCTGGCCAGCTTCTAGAGATTCTTGCTGAACCAGAAGTTGATGGTACAGATGCAATTGCATCGGTATTAAGGCTCGTACTTTGACCAACGCCTCCTTCTCTTTCTTCAGGGTGTTCATCATTTTGTCTACTTCGTCTCGAGATAAATCTTGAATAAGTGACTGGAATTTTTTGCTGATACTCTTGAAAAGATCTTCGATTCCTTCTACTTCATTATGGAAGACTTGCAGCTTCTCACCGTAGGCCTTGATCTTCTCGGTTGAGGTTAGATCGGTAGCTGACAACGCCAATTCAACGTTTCTCAACCACTTTTGTAAAGTTTCCACGCCCTGTCTGTAGTCTTTTCTATTTCGTATCACGTCTCCAGCGTGCATGTACTGCTTCGCTTCCTGGAACAGCGAGTCCCATCTAGAAGCGAGACTCGTGTAACGTTGCTTCAATTGCAAGGCGACTGGTTCGTCGGATGTGGCGATTAAGAACGTCACTGTGTCTGACAATTGTTGGTGTTTGTCTTTCCACACGCTTATATCTTGGAAGAATTCCATTTTGTCCTCTTCGGGAAGGTTCAAGGCAGGTTCAGCACGGTTCAACCAAGTCACGAACTCATCGGAGATTATGTTCCAGCGACGCCAATATGCTACCACTTCCTCAAGCATGCTTTGCACGCAACGCAGATCCATGGACACGCTTTTCCACTTGTCGCTGGTCTCTCGCATGAAACGATCGATGCTCGCTCTTTCTTCAGTGTCTAGGGCATAGCAAAACAGATATTTGTAGAGTAAACGTTTGTCCACGATCGGAATTTATAACTCTCAATTGGTATCGTCGAATCGTAGATGACTAACGGTAATTTACGATAATTATTATTTAATCTTAAAGTGCTCCGTATTAATTTTGTATCGTGTGTTTTACCTAATAAAGACTATCAATCGTGCTGACTTACGATCTAACGATTGTTATTAATATCTCTATTTAAACTCAAAAAAATGTTCTTTAATTTAAGGCAGAGCATTTTGGTATCCCAGAGAAAACTGTACTTTCGTGTCTCTACCTTTAATAACAGACGCTAAACATCGGATGAGTAAATACAATTAATTGACAAAATTGAGAATTTGTAAATTTTAATGGACAAATGTCGTGGCCTAAATCAATAAAATTACAGAGATCACCGCTCACCTACGTCACCTTCGCGTTTGTAGTCCTCGACGACTTGTTGCATGTCCAGGTAGGCTTTCTGGAACTCCTGGAAAATTCTGTTTCGCGATACGAAGTTTCTATATTGCTCCAACATCTGGTGCACACTCTCTTCGGTATCGTATTTCACGCTCCAACTCTTCAACTTCGTTTCAACTAGGAACAAGAAAGCAATAAGGCAGCACTTATGCTCCAGGAACTTTAGTCGGATTCTACGTTTGGCGGCGCGACTCGCCAGACTATCCAATCGGGTCGCCATTTCGTTCAGTTGTTGAGGATGTACTTTCAACGCGGCCTCGCTACTTCTCGCCGCTTGAAATCGTTCCGTCATGGACGGAAGATCGAGGAAAAACTTTTTGTGCTCCTCGAGCTTATTCGAGATTATGTTGGCGGTTTCTTCTGTCATTTCCTCGGGGATGTCGTTGTCGGATAGCAGAAGATCCTCTGCGCGACACAACCATCTTCCCACGACTCCTAATTCACCTGGCAAATAGGAGTCTAGGAGCCAGAGCCAGCGTAACATCTGCGAAATTCGAATAGAAAATATCTTTATATACAAGTTACGTTTATTAGTTAATTCTTTATGGGCAAACATATTTTTTCACACTCCATACACACATCGAATCATTGATATTTAAGTTTTACTGTTCCGGATTTCTAAAAAGTTTGAAAATCTTCCGAGACTTTTATCCATTCATCGAACGATCATTTATTAAGTAAAACATTAAAAGTTTATTTCAATATTAATAGAGTTCCTGAGCTGAAACTTCACTCGGATCGTCAACGATGCAATTTGCCTACCCAGCGATAAATGTTCATAATTAATTTGTTAAACTCAAACTTTGATGATCGAACGTGGTACACAGATGAACGTCAATCAGACTGAGAGCTGCCAGTCGAAATTTTCATTGTTTTGACTGTTAAATCATCCCAATAGATTTATTTATTATCTCATAAAATTTCAACTCACCAGCATCTCCAGGGTCTTCCACAGATCTTGCACGTGCTTCCACGAGTCCCGCGTGATGCTGATCATGCTAGGCGTCTCGACGAGACGCTGTAGCTTATTGTACACAACCCTCTGTTGCTCGACTTCTGCTTTCAACGCGGCGTACTCCTTCGAATATAAAATTCAAACAAAAAAACACCATTAAAACCGCTGTTCCTCGATTACTAAAATAATCGTACAGACACTAAAACATACATCATAACTCAACGGGGAGCTACCCATCTGTTCCAGGTATTTCAGCCTTTCGTACAACCAACCAAGCAGATTATCATACTCCTGCTGTACGGCCGCGAACGAATCGGAAGCGGCGGATCCTGGCTCCGGATATTTGTGTAAAAACTGAGCCACGTATGTCATGATTGATTTTTCATCGGGTTGGGGAACGTCGACGTCCTCGGGATCGAGAAGTCTGGCGATACCCAGCTCGGATTCGGCCACGTCGAACGCCGTTGCTAGACGAGCTCTGTTCGTTGCTTCTCTCATGGCCGCGATGTTCACCAAGTTCGCCTTGATAGCGTCGATGATGGCCAGGAAGGCGTTGCCGTCACGCCAGCTTTCGCCGAAGTCGCGCACTTGGATGTCCCTGTGTTGAGAAAAGTAACGTTTACTTTTTGTAAATTAGGAAATTATCAGTGTTGCGATATTAGCACTGGTTTAACGGTATTTTCGACGCTTTAATTCTGGTTTTCTTTCCAATGGCAGGACTTTCAACGACTAGAGCGTGAAACTGGTATCAAAGAAATCAACTCGAAGGATATGTAAAAGGATATACATACAATGCGAAGACGAAAATGTTTCATTTGCGTTTTACAAAAGAATCATTCACGTGGCTAGAAATTCACCACATAAACAGGATAAAATTTTGACGAAAAATTATGAATTGGTCAGTTTAAATACTCTGCTAGTTTCAGTGATACATTTTTTAATAGTGTGTTAAAAGCGGTGGATTTTGTTGCGTGTCCCGTTTTTTGCAAATGCACAAATTACATGGAATCCTATTATACACCAAGACATTAAACGACAAATAGCTAAATATAAAGATTATATATAAAATACTGACTTTGGCAGAGCGTTGGTGACCCACTGAAGCAGTGTCTTCCTCGCTCCCTGTTTCCATTTCTCGCTACTGATGCGTTTCCTCTCGCTGGTCGCGGATCCTTGGGTACTAAGACTCTCTAAACTGCTCTGACTACCCCACGTATGTCCAAGGTATTCCAAAGCTCTGGTATTTTCCTCGATCTAGAAAAACGCGCGATCAGTGGACCGCGAAATATGGAGTTCGAACAACAACCAACAAGGTCGGGGTATCGAGGGTGAGAACAGAAAAATTCACAAAGGGAAGGACTAGCGTGCGTACTAGGGTGATGCGTAAGATCATGTAGGTGCGTGCTAACTTAATACTCTCCTCTGTATACACAGATTTTTTCTACGGCTTTACTGTTCATATAAACTTCGTTAGGTTAGACGGCAATCTCTTTTCTTTTTTTTATTTTTTATTTTTTTTTTTTTTTTGGTTCAGTTCTTTTTTTTTTTTTTAATTAGCTACTCACCTTCCTTCGATCCTTCGATCGTAGCTTGTTTTCATGGAATAAATACGGTTAGCAGAATGGAATGTAATTTCTTACTTCGCTCTTAACGAGGATTAATTTTGTTAATATGAAAAATTATCAACTTTAAGTGGAAAAAAATTTGGTTAAAAAAAAGAACGGTGTGCTCGTATAAAGAATTATTCCTCTAAGATTTCACGAAACAATTGGGTAGGAAAAAAGTGATCGAACAACTTCGTGATACAAGCAAATTAATCCCCGCTGCAAACGATCGTCGCAGTGCTGCCGCGCGGATATCGTAACGCGTTTATGTAATTCGATGTTACATGTGGCACGGGCGTCTTATTTAAGCAACTACCGCATTCTAGTAATACGTGTGCGATTTTTTCAATAGCTTCGATTGTATTCGACTGTACGAATGGAAGAACGTCTACCTGGAAGTAAAGAATGATGGTCCATATCAGGCCCAACACTACGGGCGGTCGTCCGTCTACCAAATCGGACGAATTTATGTTCACTAGCTTGATCTGCAACAGACAGTCACAAATGTATATTATACTACACGCCTTTCGAGCCATACAACAATTTTCAATTTGAATTTCTTCAATCTCACATTTGAAGTTTCAGAATTCTGGTTTTGGTTTTTTCAACAGTACGATTACTCACCTTTTTGCTCTGTAAGAATTGAAGCGCTGTGTTTGCGTTGCTAAGAAAATGCGGTCTCTTCAGGTTTCGGCCCCTTTCCACCGGCTGCGAACAGACAAACGCGTTTCGTACGAGCATATTTTATCGATCGAGAGTTACAGGACAACCGTTTGCTGAAACTTACCAGCTTCTCGCCGGACAAAACTTCAAGCAATGCGAGTAGGCGGGTACCATCTTTGAGGTCCTCGATCAAATCGTCCACTCGAAGCGGTGGACTTCTCTGAAAGCGATTTCGATCATCGATACTCTCCTTCCTTGCTACTCGCAACGAAACTTGTATACGACAATCGAGAATTCATAAACAAAAATTTCGAAAAAAAAAAATAAAAATATATGATCGTCAAACATCCCTAGCTGTATGAGAGAAAACGAAATCGTTACGATTATTTACGAGAAATTTTGTCGTAACTATAAATTCGAAGGAAATAAATGTTAATGGAATTTCTCAAATTCACGTCACGTTTCTGATCGAATTGGATTTCATTTCGTGACGAACGAATCTTCTTTATAGTTTTTGTGCGTGTATTTCTGGATAAATTAAAAATAGCACGACAGGTGAATCTTCCGTATTTCGATCAGAGGACAGCATCGAACGCAATGTCGTGTCGGTTCTGGGGCATGCACGTCCTCGAGTTCCGGGATTTCTAATTCAAGTTTCGAAGTATCCGGAAGTGCGGAAGTAGGGGAGCGATATCGAGACTCGCGAGCCAGGCACGAGTTATTCCACCGAACTTCTGATATTCGTGATGAGCAGTAATTTCAACGATGCATTATTATATAGAAGGGACGATAAAAAACGAAAAAGAGGCAAGAAAATTTGCGTAACATTCGGTGTATGGGAATTATTTAGAAGGGAAGAGATCGTTTGCGGAAAGAGAAACAACCGGAAGGTTTTTCGAGTTCTTCGTCATGTCACTTGGTTCCGGAAAACTGTTTCTACGAGTTTTATCTGAATTTTTGCCTGCTTGTCCTTACCTTAGAAAGGTAAGAATTGATCCAGTTGACAAAAGTTTTCTTCTGTACTCGTTCTTGTTCGTCTGAAAAGAAAAGAAGAGAATTTTTTATAAATTGGCGACACAATTATATTAAATCTACGCTTATCTTAAAAGCAATTTGATATTTTCGTAGTAATAATCTTAATCGTCTGCTCCTCGTATCAATTAAATTTAAGAAACGATATTTTCCACGTCTCTCTATTATTTGCGATATGACGCTAGTAAGTTTGCGTCTAATTGTGCGAGAATTTTCAGTTTGTTTATTTCTAGTGGAAGAGCTTGTAAATTTAACTATTTATCTCGAGGTAGCATCAACTTTGTAGCATTATGTGAATTCGTCTCAAGATGCGAATTGAATTAGCATCATGAGGGATAAACAAGTTTTGTTTATCAAATTAAGTTAGTTAACAAATTAAGTTAAGTTAAGCGTTATTTTACAAATAATTCGACCAATTATTTAATAACATCTGTTAATTGTTGATACAGGCAAAACATTGAAGATTCTTTTGAAAAGAAAACAAGCGTTTTCAGAAACTGAGAAGTCTTCGTAAATCTGTCATCGTTGATATTCGAAACATGTCGATTGTCTGGGTTCTCATTATCGTTCGCGACACTTAGTCCCCTTAATGCCTTTCGAGATAAGTGAAAATTCTACGCACGAATACATAAACGAATCGCATTAATTCTCGCAATAAGCGAGCACATAGGAAAAAACTGGTTTTATCAAGCTTGAAAAATATCTTTTATACGTATCGTGATCTTATAGTTATAGGTATCGTGACTGTTGTGGAATTTGCAATTCGAATACCGTATCGTTAAATAATCGATATTGGCCTCTGAAATCCAAGAATAATTATGACACGATATTCGACGAAATTCGTGATGCAGATGGCGAGAAAACATAGGCGATAATATTCGTACGCAGCGTTTGAATAAATGCTACGTACAGTCTTGTCATTACGTCATCGACAATTGCGGAGCCTCGTGATCGTTGCGTTGTGTGAACTGTAAACCGAGTTAGAAATCACGCTCTCAGCTTGAAATCGGTATTGCTCCACGTATCACGCGTATAAACTGATCGAATCTTCTGTTAAATGGTTAATTGGAAAATAAAAACTGGCGATCAGAGTGGTATAGAGAATGTATCGCCGCGAAGTAGCTGAAACCAGTTTCCCACGTAGTAAATTTAGCCATGCGCGTATGCCGCGTCGAATAGACTGCTTTTATTGGCAGTAAACGTTCACGCTCTTACGTGGGCCTTTAAAATATCTTTCCAGGTAGCCCGAATCATGTATACGATAGAGTTTCATTCATTTCTAGCTGAAAGAACCAATGTGCCGTTTTATTTTTTGCCAACCATTTACGTATGTTCTTTTTGCTATTAATAGCTGAGAAAGCATACGTTTGTTCTCAATTGCGTTAACCTTTGTGTCATTTCATTCCCATTTACAACGCTGCAGTTAAAACTTTTTTTTATCAAGATAATCAAGAATGTAATACTTTCTACAAAATTTACATACGGAACGATATGCTCGGACTTGTCTTATTATCCTTTCGCGTTCTAGAAAACGTAGGTAAAAGTACGCATACTACTACGCTACTCACTTCGCAACATCGACGTTAAAATACCTTCGTTAAAGAAACGTTTGTGGTCTACACGTGACATTGATAGACTCCGTCTGGTAATATCTTGCTTATCTCTCACCACGTCTATTAGTTTGCAATTTAACAGCATACTCGATCGCTTGTAATACTCTGAAACGTATTTTATTCTATGGAATATAAAAAATGCCCGTGATCGGACAATTTCCTTTTTCTTTCGAACTTGCCAACTTTCTAAGAATAGTTGTGGGAATTAATTAGTTAATATTTTACACGTTAATATTTCGAGCGATCGTAAACAATGCGAAAGTGCAGGGAACTCCCGCGGAGTGGCTCGGAACAAGCAAAATTCGAGAATTCCCAGGGTTTCTAATTTTATGCACCCTTCGTCTCCGTACGAAAAACGTTCAGACCAAGCCTAATTACGGTGTTCCCGCGAAAAACACCGTAATCTCTATCGTGAATCGTATTATAAATCACGTTTCAAGGGATGTATCGCTCTTATTTTGGGAACGAGCACGCTGGACGATGGATCGTTGGCGTCGATAAGCTCGCAAGAGGAAAAGTCGCTAGGGACCGAGGGTCAATTAAAAAGTGCTCACGCTGCACGTGCGTGCAAGACGAAGAAGCTCGTGTGTAGACGCTGTTGGCACGCATACGTGATCTGCATACACAGTGCGTTCTGTCACTTCTCGCGACAGACGTGCTTATTACACGCTGCTTTGTTCCCCTTTCGCGTGTTCCTGCTATAGTCTGAAGAAAAGACGTTAGACGCACTATGTCGGAGTATATATTTTCCTCGTACCCGCTATTCTATGTCAATAAAAATCTATTATCACATTGTCGTCAAATGCTTTTTATTCTTCCATGGCTGCGTGTTAACAAGTTCACAACGCGGATTCGAGTTGGCTTGTACTTTCAGGTTACACAGGGTGGTTGGTAACTGGTGGTACAAGCGGATAGGGGATGATTCTACGCGAAAAAAGAAGTCGAAAATATAGAACAGAAATTTTTCGTTCGAGGCTTTGTTTTCGAGAAAATCGACTTTGAATTGTCGCTCGGTACGCGTGCGGTGCGTTATAATGGATCTCACTGTAGATCGTTGTCTCGATTGACGTTATTTTTTTAATTTTTTAAATTTTTAAATTTTTAAATTTTTAAATTTTTAAATTTTCAAATTTTCAAATTTTTAAATTTTCAAATTTTCAAATTTTCAAATTTTCAAATTTTCAAATTTTCAAATTTTCAAATTTTCAAATTTTCAAATTTTCAAATTTTCAAATTTTCAAATTTTCAAATTTTCAAATTTTCAAATTTTCAAATTTTCAAATTTTCAAATTTTCAAATTTTCAAATTTTCAAATTTTCAAATTTTCAAATTTTCAAATTTTCAAATTTTCAAATTTTCAAATTTTCAAATTTTCAAATTTTCAAATTTTCAAATTTTCAAATTTTCAAATTTTCAAATTTTCAAATTTTCAAATTTTCAAATTTTCAAATTTTCAAATTTTCAAATTTTCAAATTTTCAAATAAAGGGGGTGATTTTACGCGAAAAAAGAAGTCGAAAATATAGAATAAACATTTTTCGTTCGAGGCTTTGTTTTCGAGAAAATCGACTTTGAATTTTCGCTCGGTACGCGTGCGGTACGTTACAACGGATCTCACTGTACATCGTTGTCTCGATGGAAAAATTAAAAAATAAGAAATTAAACAAAAAATTTTTATTCTATATTTTCGATTTCTTTTTTCGCGTAGAATCACCCCCTTTCCGCTTGTACCACCAGTTACCAACTATCCTGTATATACACCACGAGCTCTTACGCATTTATGAGCAATTTAAAGATACAAAAACACATATAGTATAGTACTCGACGTACTATTTAGTTAGTCTAGGTCCTGCTTCTTTGATTCTGTTCATAAACATATGAATTTTCATGGTATATGTACAATGTGGTTTTGCGCAAAACGCGAACCAAGTGGTACGAAATGACGAAACAATATTTCACAATAATTCGTATCCAACACATACGTAAAATTTTATAGTATAAAGACAAGTATTGCACGGTATCAAGTACAGCATTAAAGATGACGAATCCGCGATAAACATGCTAATGCGATATTTTAGCAGACAAATAATCTGAATATTCATATAATGCTCAAGTCCCATAATTTTATATTGTTGGATTTATGGTGGGGAGGCAACCTCGAGCATCAAGTTCTTCGATCGAGGCTATAGAAATGTAGATCATGGTGGCCACTCGTGGGAAGCTATCGTATTGTTTGCTAATAGCTATTTCTTGTATCTTAACGTGATAGATGAGTCAGGGCTTTTAAATATGGTTGAGAGCACTCGCATATACATAATTCGACACTCGAATATTTCTACTCGCCACTATATCAACGTCCTATTATTATCACGCGAACGATATTCTCATTGATGACACGTCGAGAGAAAGACGCAACTAGCGTTAAATGAAAGACACCCTTTATGAGACTAATGGTACAATATACAGGGTGGTTGGTAACTGTTGGTACAAGCGGAAAGGGGGTGATTCTACGCGAAAAAAGAAATCGAAAATATAGAATAAAAATTTTTTGTTTAATTTCTTATTTTTTAATTTTTCCATCGAGACAACGATGTACAGTGAGATCCGTTGTAACGTACCGCACGCGTACCGAGCGAAAATTCAAAGTCGATTTTCTCGAAAACAAAGCCTCGAACGAAAAATGTTTATTCTATATTTTCGACTTCTTTTTTCGCGTAGAATCACCCCCTTTCAGCTCGTACCACCATTTGTTACCAACCACCCTGTATATTGCACGGTAACTTAAGGAAATGGCTGGATTGAGATCCACTGGAACATAGGATTCTATTATACGATAAAAGGAACTACGTACATATCGTATTTAAAAAATTACCACCAACCTATATCTTATCAAAGTTGAGTGTATTATACGATCTATGTTATCGTATCGTTGCTATATATTTATTGTTAAAAGAAAAATCCATCTCGAAACGATTAAAGCTCTGGACTATCTATTAGCCGCGGCCGCTTTATTAATTCACACAGCATTGGGAAAATTACAAGAGCACGTGATTGATGCACACGTAATGCACCGTAAAATTACACGTTTCGCGGCAACGATGTAATTTAACCGTTCACCGTGACGGCTAGTTGATCGGAGACGAGAGCAAAAACTCGAGGATGGACCGAACCGAGGTATCTACCCGGTGAAAAGAAATTGAAAGTAGAAAAGGAAAAGAGAATGAGTCGTAAGACCGAGTGTAAACAGGGAATTACGTTATTAGTTGTAAATTACGGGGATTTGACATTTTATTGGCGGCTTAATGGAACGATAATGGGAGTCGTAGCCATTGGGAGACGTGCGATAAATTTTAAAGAAATACGTTTCGTACGCTGCTACGGTCGAATATAACG